CTCAACACGGAACTCGAACTCCTGAACCTTGAGGTTGTCATCTGAGCTGAAGTCAGATGCCTAACTGACTGAGCCACCCAGGAGCCCCTAAAATTTTTTTTAATGTTTATCTATTTTTGAGACAGAGAGAGAGAGAGAGAGAGAGAGACAGAGCATGAGTGGGGGAGGGGCAGAGAGAGAGGGAGACCCAGAATCCGAAGCAGCTCCAGGGCCTGAGCTGTCAGCACTGAGCCCGACATGGGGCTCAAACTCACAAGCCCCATGACCTGAACTAAAGTCAGCTGCCCAACTGACTGAGCCTCCCAGGCTCCCCAGCAATACATTTTTTAAGAGCCAAGCCTTCATCTCAAATTCTTTTTGTTTTTAAGTTTATTTATTTGGGAAACACACACCTACACACACACGCGCGCGCATGCGTGCGCGTGCACACACACATATCTCCGGGAGAGGAGCAGAGAGAGAAAGAGAGAATTCCAAGCTGACAAACTGTGAGATCATGACCTGAGTCAAAATCAAGAGTGGATGCTTAACCGACTGAAGCACCCAGGCACCCCCCAACTGTCTTTTCTATAGTATCTCCTTGTATATCTTTTAAGAAATATTTTGTTTTAAATATTTCTGCATTTCCACCCCGTTGTGTCTTTTGTAAGTAGCATACATTTGGATTAAAAAAACCCAATGTTGGGGCGCCTGGGTGGCTTAGTCGGTTAAGCGTCCGACTTTCGCTTAGGTCATGATCTCGCGGTTCGTGGGTTCGAGCCCCGCGTCGGGCTCTGTGCTGACTGCCAGCTCGGAGCCTGGAGCCTGTTTCAGTCTGTGACTCCCTCTCTCTCTGACCCTCCCCTGCTCACACTGTCTCTCTCTCTCTCTCCTAGAAATAAATAAAAACATTAAAAAAAATTATAAATAAATAAATAAATAAATAAAAATAAAAAAACCCAATGTAATAATCTTTGCTTTAATAGAAAATTAATAATCATTTATGGTTTCTTTGTAATTACTGATACATTGGACTTAATTCCGGTATATTAATTTCGTGTTTTCTCTTGATATCTTTTTTGCTTTTTTGGGCAGATTTTTCTGACTCCCGTAATTCACAAATTGTTCTGTGTTACCTGTTACCCACACACCTTTATCCCCTCTGCTGGTTTTCTCATACATTGTATTTCTAGCCATTTAGCTGATATCCTTAACATTTTATCATTTATTTATTATTTATTGATTTATTTTTGAGAGAGGCAGAGAGAGTGCAAGTGGGGGAAGGGGGGAGAGAGAGAATCCCAAGCAGTTTATGCGTGGTCAGTGTACAGAGTCTGATGTGGGGCTTGAACTCATGAAACCTGAGATCATAACCTGAGCCAAAGTCAGATGCTTACCTGACTGAGCCACGCAGGTGCCCTGATATCCTTCATATTTAAACACATATTTGTAACCATACATTTGTCTGACACAGAACAGCAAACTACAGCCTATCTTTTTGGCAGCCTGTGGTTATAAATAAAGTTTTATTGGAACACAACCCTGTCCATTTCTCTACATATTGTCTGTGGCTGCTTTTGTGCCACAAGATCAGAGTTGAGTGGTTGCAACAGAGATCTTACATTCGCAAAGCCTAAATACCTACTAATTGGCCCTTTACACAAAATTTTTGCTGCTTCCTTGTCTAACAATTAAGAGTGAGTTAGTCTCTATGACATAGTTTGATTCAGCTACACATGCAAGAACCCTTTCTGTACATATTTGTATTGTTGCCTAGATTGTCAGTCTTACATGTGGAGAATACACACAAAATAATGAAAAGTGAATATCACAATTAAAGAACAATCAAGATTTATTAAATTTAACTACTTACAAATTACTTTCTGTGTCTGCCATTATTCTTGTATACTATGCATTGTTTTTGGGCTCAGGTTTCATCTTGTTTTACTGAGAGTCTGGGGTCATGACTTCTTTTATATCTGAAAATGTGTTTATTTTACCCTCACTTTTCTTTTTTAAAAAAATTTTTTAATGTTTTATTTATTTTAGAGAGAGAGAGAATATGAGTGAGGGAGGGGCAGAGAAAGAGGGAGACACAGAATCTGAAGCAGCTCCAGGCTCTGAGCTGTCAGCACAGAGCCCGATGTGGGGCTTGAACTTGTGAACTGTGAGATCATGACCTGAGCCAAAGTTGAACACTTGACCAACTGAGCCCCCCAGGCGCCTTTGCCCTCACTTTTCATTGATGGTATAGCTGGACACTGAGCTCTAAGGTGACGATTACTTTTCTGCTGTTGCTCTTTGAAGGTATAACTTAATTATCTTCAAACATATATTTTTGAAGTGAAGTGAAGGTTTCTTTCTTTTTAATCTTTTTCTAGATATTTTGTCTTTTCTTTTTTGTCTTTTGTTTTTTTTCTAGATATTTTGTCTTTTTCTGGTACCTTCTAAGACTTTTTATGCTTGATGTTCTGCAGCCTCTCACTGCTTCTGGTTGGATATATTTTCTTTGTCTGGTTGGTACTTGCAGTGCACTTTAAATCTGAGAAGTCGTCTTTAATTCTGGACATTTCTCACCTGCTGCTTCTTCAGATGTCACTTCTTCAGCGTCTCCCCCATTCTCTGCTGCGGCTCAAGCTGGCGTGTGCTGGGCATATGATCTGGCCTGCGTGTCACTCAGCTTCTCTCGTTTTCCCTCTTTGGCTTTTTGGTGTCTGTGGGTGAGTTCCCTAGCACCAGCCTCCACACTGTTGTCCAAACCACTAATACTCTCAAACCAGGCCTCCAGCCCAGAGTGTGATTTATTGTTGTTGTTAATGTTATTACAGTAACTATTTGTAATTGCCAGAACTTTGAGCTAGTTTTTAAAATACCTACCCGTTTCTGGCTGGTTTTGTTCAATAATTTATTGATTTTATCAGAACAAGATTAATCTTCCAGCAATTGATTTAAATAGTTGAATGTCTCTCAGAGCAGTGGTTTTGGTTTGAATAGATATTTTCTTGTCCTTATTTTTTTACCCTGCAAGTTTCGTATTAATTTTTTTTTTTAGTGTTTATTTTGAGATAGAGAGAGAGAGAGAGACAGAGTGTGAGCAGGGGAGGGACAGAGAGAGAGGGAGATGCAGAATCCAAATCTGAGCTGTTAGCACGGAGCCCGATGCGGGTCTTGAACCCGTGAACCATGAGCTCATGACCTGAGTTTCTCCTTATTTTGCTCCGTCTCAGCTTTTATTCCTTGTGCCTCGTACTTTGAGGGGTGTGGGGCACAGGCCTTCTTCCCCAGCAGCAGAGGCAGCAGGGCTGTGGGGCTTTGCTTGGTGGGGGGGGGGGGGGTCAGGCCGCAGCGCTGGTCTTACCTGAAATAAACAGCTGACGGGTGGTGCTCGCTGAGTCGGGCGTTGGGGAGGGAACAAGGCCGGGGGCAAGAACCAGAATTCCTTAGTCGCCATAATGTAACACCTCTGGACTTTTAATTAATTAATTTATTGTCATTTTAAAAATATTTATTCAGTTTTGTGAGAGCGCAAGTGTAGGAGGGCATCAGAGGGTCTGAAGGGGGCTCTGTGCTGACAGCAGATAGCCCCATGTGGGGCTCGAACTCACAAACTGTGAGATCGTGACCTGAGCTGAAGTCAGATGCTTAACCCACTGAGCCACCCAGGCGCCCCAGCTCTGGACTTTTTAAAAGAAGTACATGTTTCAACACTTTTAATCAGTAAAGTAAAAAAAAAAAAAAAAAAAAGACAGTTCTTTAATTGTATGATGCTTGATATGCTGCTTTGATGCCCAAGTGGAAATGTTAAAAAGGCAGTTGGGGGGCGCCTGGGTGGCTCAGTCGGTTAAGCGTCCGACTTTCGCTTAGGGCATGATCTCGCGGTTCGTGGGTTCAAGCCCCGCGTCGGGCTCTGTGCTGACTGCCAGCTCAGAGCCTGGAGCCTGTTTCAGTCTGTGACTCCCTCTCTCTGACCCTCCCCTGCTTACGCTGTCTCTCTCTCTCTCCTAGAAATAAATAAAACATTAAAAAAAAAAAAAAGGCAGTTGGGTTTATGAGTCTGCAGTTAGTGATGTGCGTGTGCGAGTGACCAGCATGCTGAGGGGCTCAGAGCTGTGGGGTAGACCTGTTGGGTCTGAGCCCTGGGGCTTCCACTTCTGGAGTCCGGTGGAGGAGGCGAGGGTGGCGACCAAGACCCTGAGGGGCTGCTGGGAACCTGGGGGGAAACGAGGGAGTTGACCCAAGGGCAGAGGAGAAACCATTTAGAGAGGGAGACTTGACCATTGGAGTCAGCAAGACAAAGGCTTGAACAGCTTTCCAGGGGAATAGTGTGGGTGACAGCCTAATGGGGGACAGGAAGGTCAGGTGGTGGGGACACCAAGGGCTGACCCTCTGAATGAGCTTTGGTGTGGAGGGAGCAGAGAAACGGCTGTGCTGAGAGGTGGCTATTGGAGCTTTTGTTTTTTGAGATGGGACAGTTTGGAATATATTTTTTGGCTAACAGGATTGATTATGATGGCTTTGCTGAGTCCCCTGTAGCTGCTCTTCGGCCTGCCCTCCCCCGCTTGCCCCCCAGCCGGTGTTCTCTGGGGGAAGGTGAGGAAGGGTGTGTGTGGCGCCTGTTCAGGAGTTTCCACTCAGCACCGCCTCTCGTGAGGCCGCTTGCAGTGCAGGAGGCATTGGTTCGGGGACCTGGGCCGGGCTTGGATTTAGTTGGAGGGCAAACTCAAGGCCAGGCCAGGTGCCAGAGACCATGTGTCCTCCTGGGGTGATTCCGTTGAGCCGGAGGTAGGGTCACGCTGGAAGCAGTCATTGCTGACATTGCTGTGAGGACGCCCGGATTCAGTGCCTGCCTCTTCTGCCACAGCAGCACCACACCCGCTGTCAGCCCTGTGCTCGGACAGTGGGGGACACAGGCCAGAAGGTGTCGCTGTTGTTGGGAGAAGGGACATGGGTGGGGGGCACGTACTCTCCTCTCACATGAATGTGGAGCCCTTACTTCCCTGTTCCTTCTCTGTTCCTGCCAGGATCCTGGCCACAGCTGGCACCGACTTCGACCTGCGGACCCTGCGGGCTGTGCGTGTGCTCAGGCCCCTGAAGCTGGTGTCTGGGATTCCGAGTGAGTCTGGCAAAAGCAGTCAGGCCCAAGCCCACCTGGATCACTGACCCCCTCCCCCGACCCCACCATGGCCACAGCCACAGCTAAGCCTTAACCAATGGGCTCTTTGGCTTTGGTGACTCAATGCTCAGTGCTCCTGACCCCTGGGAACCAGGTGTGAAGAAGGCTGGCGTTCTCTGTGACAGCCCGGAGACTGGCCCTGTTGTTTTGCCCTGACTTGGCCTCCCCACATGGAAACTTTGCTTCTCCTCACACGCTCTGCTAGATTTCTAGCTCTTTGCTGCTTTTTCTGGGGTTAAAGCACAGACGAGACCGAGCAAGGAGGTCGGCAGGACGCCTGACAAAATAGTCAAAGGCCCACCTGTCTTGGCTCGGGCTTGGCAGGCCCTTGGAGAACCCAGACCAGATTAAGACACAGTCCTGGACTCAGCTGCCCAAGGGGCCAAGGCTGGTTAGGAGCGTGGCTGGGGGCAGGCGCAGCGTGGCCCCTGTTCCTCCAGTCCAGTGGAAGTGTAGTTTTAGGTTTCCTCAGGGCCCCAAGTGGGCAGGGACCACTCAGGGCTCTGTCCCCCTGAGGCCGCTGCAGGGGGAGCCCCTGTTCCGCCCCAAGACCCTGCCAGGCAAAGGCTCAGGCTTGTATCTAAGAGCTGGGGCCCTGCGGTGAGGGGGTCACGGGGTTGAGCTTCCTCCATGTGCTGACTGTCTCTGGCCTTGTGGTCAGTGGTCAGACACTCCTGTGAGCAGGTCCCTTGCTTTGCTTTCCCTGAAGTGTTGGGGCCTGTCAAGACCTGCTCTTCCCTCCCAGTATCCCCTCCCCTTTCCTCTTAGGACTCTGTTCTGGCTCCACCGAGAGCCCTCCATAGGTCCCCACATCTCCCCAGCACCCACCCTCCACCAGACTGCACACTCTGACACTGCACACCCTGCTCTGTCTACTTCCCTCCGAGACTTATGCTTGGCCCCCCACCCTGAGGACTCTTGTGGAAGCACATGCCGTCCCCCCAACTCCCCACATTCCTCGCTCCATCCCTTACTCTGAGGGTCCTCAGCTCAGCACCTTACCCCAGGACCTCCAGTCCTGCGCAGCCCAGGCGTTCGCCAGTCTACCCACACCCCCACTCGCCCCCCGTATCGCCCCCCGTACCACCCACCCTGCTCTGACGTGCCATGCTCTGGCTGCTCTGGCCCAGGTCTGCAGGTGGTGCTCAAGTCCATAATGAAGGCCATGGTCCCGCTTCTGCAGATCGGGCTGCTTCTCTTCTTCGCCATCCTCATGTTCGCCATCATTGGCCTCGAGTTCTACATGGGCAAATTCCACAAGGCCTGTTTCCCCAACAGCACAGGTAAGGCCTGGCAGCACCCCTTGGGGTCAGACAGGGACCATGCTCTCACTCATCCAGGAGACAGGCACTGTTCTAGGTGCCAGACAGAATGAGATGGGGGGGGGGGCATACACCACAAGCTGGAAAACACAAACACGTGAATAAACACATATACAGTGATTACAGATTGTGGTAACTCCTAGGAAGAAACCAAAGGGGAGTTTGCGATAGAATAATTTGGGAACCTGCTTCACAGAAACTGGCCAGGGGAGGCCTCTCTCCTGAGGGGACAGGTGAGCAGCGATCAGACTGGAGTAAGAGGGACTGTGATGTGGCCGCTGGGCCGGAGAGCTCCAGTTACAAAGATCAGCGGGAACAGAGGGGAAATCACGTGGCTTCACGGCCATGGTAGGAACTCTGAGTCTTCCTCTGAGAGAAATCAGGAAGACAGTGCAGGGCTCTGAGTGAAAACTGATGTCATCTGATTGTTCTGGCTGCTCCAGGGAGACAGAGGCAGAAATAGCATCCGCAGGAGGGTAATACCTCAACCCAAGAGACATGGTGGCTGTGGCCAGGCTGTTTAGGTGGAGGTGGTCATAATGAGTTGGGTTCTGGATGTATTTATTTTGCAGTGAGGCAGATGAGCCACGTGATCATCTCAATCGACGTAGAGAAAGCTCTTACTAAAATTTAAATCATTCATGATTTTAAAAACGTCTTATCAAGGCCAGCGGAAGCAAATCCACTCTGTAGGGGCCAGTGTAGTGAGGCCCGGGCTCTGCAGCCCCCAGCCAGCCTGTGGGCACACGATGTGTGGGCTCCGAGCCAGCCTGCCTGGTAAGCAGGGCCTGCAGTGGCTGGCTCCAGAGTGACAGGCAGCATCTGCATGTCAGGAGAGCCTCGGTGTTAGTTTGGCTGTGAGAGAAAGGAGCAATCAGTGGTGTGGTGGTAGAAGAGTTGGATGTTAGGGGTTTGTTGTTTTTGGTTTTAAGGCGAGCAAGTCCTAAGGCCTGTTTAAACAGTAATGGGCAGGTTCCAGGAGAGAGGGAGATGTTGGCCAGTAGTTCCTGGGAGGGTCGGTCTGAACTCAGATGGAGCCAGACTGTAGGCAGGGGGAGAGCCGGTGCAGGGAGGGACGGTGGGGAGTTGAGGGAGGATTTCCATTGGTGCCTGATTCCTGCCCACTTGTGATGAGGTCTTTGTGACCCAGAAGTCCCAGTAGGGGGTGGAGAACTTGGTGTTTCTGGGTTCAGGGTCTCTGCTTCATTCTCCTCTCCACAGACACAGAGCCAGTGGGTGACTTTCCCTGTGGCAAGGAGGCCCCAGCCCGGCTGTGTGAGGGCGACACTGAGTGCCGGGAGTACTGGCCGGGACCCAACTTCGGCATCACCAACTTCGACAATATCCTGTTTGCCATCTTGACAGTGTTCCAGTGCATCACCATGGAGGGCTGGACTGACATCCTTTACAACGTGAGTTGCATCTTGGCCCTGGGACTGTGGATGGGCCGTGAAGCTCCTGGGATCCCATTTGGGGTGACATTTCTGATCTAAGGGCCTCTGCCCAGCCTCAAGCTCCTTCCTCTACCCCAGGATAAAATACAGGCCCCTTCCTTCAGATGACTCTACCAAAGGCCCTCTGTCATCAGTTTTAACTCATACTTTTGACCTGGGTCCCAGAGTCTCCAGGACAGCTTCTCTTAGGAAAGTAAAACTGAGGGCCAGGCAGTAGAAAGTCAGCAAAGAAAATGCCAGAGAAGATGCTATTGCTGCTGCTGACCAGATGGTCACAGTGCCAATCCTCTAAGCCTCACTGCAAGCTTGCTCCAAATTAGGCCCTGCGTGAAGTGTCCTATCCCTGTTAACTCATAGAGTCATCTCAAGAACCCCATGTGCAATGAAGAAACTGAGGCATGGAGGGGCTGTTTAAGTTGCCCAAGGCCTTAAGACTAGTAGGCAGCTTGCTGGGAACTGCCAGCTCTGCCATCCCTGCTGGGGTTGTCTGGATGGAGGGAGGGAGAGTGAAGCCTGCTGGGGCTCTCGTCCCTAGGCAGCCGGCTGAAGACAGTCAGGAGCAGGGCAGGCTTTACGGCTGCACTGAGCTGACGCTGAGGAAGACTTCTCTGATGATGCTGGCGTTCTGGGGTCAGAGTGTGTGTCTTGCGCATTTTTGTCTTTTCCACTGTGTCTATCTGGTGCTGTTTCCTCTTCATCCTCTTGACCATCAGGTTGCCCGCCTGTCACAGTGGTGTGTACAGGGCAGTCTGGGTTGGTGCCCATGACAGAAGCTGGTCTAATGTCCTTGCCTGATGACCCATCCCACTGCCACGTCCCCTCCGCGTGAAGCTCTTCTGGGAGGGCTCTACCGCAAATGCTTGAGCAGAGTTCTGTCTCTTTTTTTATGTGATGACCTCCCTAGCTACCTTCTAGCCTGTGTGGTCCTGTGAGCCACTAGGGCATAAGAACAATTAAATTAGTTCCTCAGGGGCCCTGGGAGGTAGGCAAGGAAGGTACACATGAGCTAGAGATCCTGGAAGGTTTGGCTGGGAGGGCACGGCTGGTTGCTGGAATGTGCTCCGCTTGCGAGCTGTGGGTGGAGGGCCTGCAGGTACAAGACCCCGCATGTTGAACCTGCCACTTGTATGCTGAGCCCCTGGAGCCCTGTGTTTCCCAGCCTCTAGGAGCCTGGGGAGGAAATGATGGTGATAATCTGGTGGCATGATGGACAGATGGAAAGGGACAGACTGGGACCCTCTGCTCTGTGGGTTCGTGGATATTCGGGTGGATCTCAGGGCCGGGTGTCCAGCAAGTGCTTGGTAGATGCTCACTGAGCAGGCAGGGGGAAGGTGGAAGTTAGGGAAAAGCTGGCCCGCAGTCCCTTGAACCAGATCCCTCCTTGGAGTGGGAGTTGTGTCTCATGACAGGCTCTGTTTAATTGAGGAGAAGAAGAACAGGCACAAAGGCGGTTATGAGGAGCTTGGCTGTTCTTTTCCTACAGCAAATCAAGGAACAATTTCCCCAAGACAGACCCTAAAAATAGCTCTGTGCTGGCCACATCCCTGCCAGCCCCACCTGAGCGAGGACTGCATGAACAGGTTGCTGCAGCTTTCAGTGCCCACTGGGAATTGGCCCGTGGCCCTGGTGACTCGGACTGGTGGGTCTGTGCTCTGCGTGGGAGGGGCTGAGCAGGAACTAGACCCTAGGGCAGGACTGGTCAAGACAGCCACAGAGGCACATATTTCCATTGGACCCTCAGGGCTCTGGGCGCTCCCTGAGATACTGCATATACAGTGAGAAGCAGGAGGCATTTGGTAAAGCCCTAATAATGGCAAGTGGTTTAAAGAAAACAAAGGTGGATGAGAGGCAGGGAGTGATGAGTTAGATACCTTGTGACAGCCAGGCCTGGTGAGGTCTGGAAGCCAGACATGCAGGCGCTATGAGATTGTGCCTTGGAGGTTTGGCAAGGCCCCAGGACACAGTGACAGTGGTGAGCTGTGAGGTGGCCTAGATCTGGCTGGATCCACTCTCCACACTGAAGAATAATAGGGTGAGTTGCTGCAAATCAGACAGGGTGTTTTGAAGGGGATTCTTTAGAGAGAGAGCCTGCCCCTTGCCTCCAACCCTGTGAGAGGAGCTTTCATGGTCCTTTCAGACATACTCCTTAAGTGTGGAGCCCCAAGTGACAGTGCCTGGACTTCAAGGGCAGGGGCCATTGGCCTGCAGCAGTGGGGCAGAGAGAGAGAGGTGGAGAGCACACTTGAAGTTGGGAACAGAGGAGGGTGTGTGAGTGCTTCTCATGGACCAGCTGTGGCCAGGGGAGAGTGGCCAGACAGGAGCCCTTTTTAATTCTGACCAAGGGAGTGACAAGGTCTCAGCAGAGAACCTCTGTTCACGAGGGACTGCTGAAACAATGGGGGTGGGGGTGGGGCAGTTCTCCGGCTGAAGGAGAAATGGCTTGCCTGCAGCTTGAAATGTAAGTGGAGTCAAATGTGTTCCTGGAAGAACCCACAGAAGTGCTTCATGAGGGACAAGTCAGCAGGAAATTTCCGTTAGGCCCAGAGAGATGAGATTATCTCAAGACACCGCAATGCACAGAAGAACTTGCCTGTCCCCCAGCTCCCCACCCCCCCCGCCCCCCTTCCTCCCCTGCTTGGATCGTGTTGGGGTTAGTAACCCAGCAGCCAGCTGAGGAAGAAGAACAGCGCCAGGCGTGGAGGGCAGACAGGGACCACGCCTCCCTCCCAGCGAAAGCAGCCAGCTGTGGCCAGCGAGCAGAGCAGATATTTTCAGTGTAAAGCATGTCAAGTAGTTTTATTGCCAGCTGGAATTGGACACTTAATTACTGAAGTGAGACTGTGTTTTCTAGTTGAAATGATTGTAGAACTTTCCACTACCTAGGAGTTATCAGAAGAGTAATAGGACTTATCCAAATTTTTATCCAGGGGCATGAATGTGATCAAAGGGACAGGGGGAGGTAAGTAAAGTTGGTTTATGGTTATACACATGTGGTTTTGCATATGCTCGCTGTACTGGCCACATACAGCTCTGAGGAAGGGTTGTGCAGATATTAGTTGCAAAGGCTGTGTTTTACAGTTAGCGCAGGTAGGGCCGGGTGTGCAGTGTGAGAGGGAAGAACCGAAGAGGATGCGAAGTCAGCCACTGGGGAAGGTGGTGCCTTTTCTTGAGAAGGGAGACTTGGGGTGAGATCTTTGCTCGGTTTTGTTTCAGGGGAGTAGCAGTGAAGCCCAGCACTCTGATTCGACCCCTAATGTTTCAAAGAACTATTTTCATGCAAGGGAGACGCTGAGTATACAGTTGGGTATATGACAGGGGGCTCAGAGGAGACAGCACGGCTCAGGGTGTCTGTCTGAGATCATGGATGGAGGTTAACATTATGGCAGAGGATGTGATTGGCTCAGCAGGGAATGTAGAAGAAGGCCCAAGACTGAGCCATCTCTGAGCTTGGCTGGTGGGGGAATTCCAACATTCAGAAGACAAGTAGGAAAGAAAGAGACTAAGGTGGAGCCTGTGAGGCAGAGTAGAAACCACAGCGTGAGCGTGCTGTGTCTTAGAAGCAGAGTTAAGAACAAGGCTTTTAGAAAATGATCAGCTAGGTCAGAGGTCAAGAAAGATGCTGGTAAACTTGACAAGAGCAGTTTCGGTGGTGGGGTAAAAGGTGCAGGTTAAAGGTGAAGGCAGGATGACAGTGAGGACGGCAGCTGGAGTTGGCTCTCTCCCGGCTCCCTGTGAGGTGTCGCAAAACAGTGCGAGGGAACTGCGGGGACATATGGGGGTTGGCTGTTGTTTTTTTAAAAACTAAACTTTATTTGAGATAATTGAGGGCTTACATGCAGTTGTACGAAATAATACAGAGACCCCGTGTTTCGTGTAATGGTTACAACCTGCAGAACTAGTGTGATCACGACTTGAATACTGGCACTGATGTCGTCGAGACGCACAACATTCCATCGCGGAAGGACCCCCGGCTGCCCTTGTGGCCACCAACTTCTCTCTTACCCTCACCCCCCTCGATCCCTGTGAACCACTGTCACATCTGTGATGTCAAGGAGGTTATATAAATGACACCATACTGTATGTTACTTTTTGGCATTGGGTGCTTTCACTCAGTGATTCTTTGGGGTTTCATCTAGATTAACGTGTGTCAGTAATTGGTTCCTTTCTATGGCTGAGCAGTCTTCTGTGATTTGGGCGGACCGGGTTTGTTTAACATTTACCTGTCACAGGACGTATGGGTTGTTTCAAGTTTAGGGCTGTTGTGAACATAATTGCTCTACACATTTCCATATGGGTTTTGAGTTTTCATTTCTCAGGGATAGAAACCCAGGAGTGCAATTTCTGGGTTGTATTGTGGTTGCAAGTTTAGTTTAAGAAGCTAAAAATTTCCCAGAGGGCTGTATTCTGTTGTGTTGTCACCAGGAGAGTGTGAATAATGTAGCCTCCTCACCAATATTTGATGTTGTCATTGTTTTTAACTTTAGCCATTCTGGTAAGTGTGTTCTGATATGTCATTATGGTATTAATCTGCACTTCCTAATGGCTAATGGTGTTAAGCATCATTTCATACTTATTTGCCATTCATTTCTCTTCTTCAGGGAACTGTCTCTTCAGATATGTGGCTTGTAAATAATTTTTCCACCTCATTACTTGACTTTTCATACTCTTTACCTGGTTTTTCACAGAACAAGCATTCTTAATTGTGAAAAAGTCCAGTTTATCAATTCTTTCCTTTGTAGCTTGGACTTTTAGGGTCAAATCTTTAATCAGCACTTTGGAGTTTTCAGTATACAAGTCCTGTATATGTTTTGTTAGACATTCAAATGATTTTTATATGTTGATCTTATATCTTGCATCCTTGCTGAATTTACTTATTTATTCTAGGATATGTTTTGGAGAGTCTTTGGGATTTCCTGTGCAAACATGTCTGCAAACAAGAACAGTTTATTTCTTCCTTT